CAATATATAGGGTGCAAAATGACCTGACCTGGCTCTAAGCCACAGATATCTTGAGATGTAACACGTGGCTAAACCAGCCTCGGGGCCAAAGCTATAGTCACTAGCGGCACGCTGCTACCCAGTACCTAACATCATCAGGTATGGGTGCCTCCGTTCCTACTTCCTATGGAAACGTAAGCAAACTTCACAATGTTGCCAACGTCTTAATGAAAACCGGCTAAGTGTCGATACCTTGTAGCGGCGGGGAGGGTCGTATCGTGAAACAGGGGCCGAGGTCCACCTATAGTCTCGTTAATGGCCAGCTCGTTGGATTTGCTCCGATGTTATCTACTCCAACTGGTAGCCGGTGACCGTCTAGATAGGAACAGGGGATGAACTCGTACTATGGGCAGACGGATGAGGAAAGGTCTTCGTGCACGGCCAAAAATGACGTTTTACGAGGACGTGCTTCTTGCTCATACAACTCAAGCATAACTAGAAACATTTGGATCATTATGCATGCTCCAGCTGATTAGGGAATGAAGTATGTAACATTTCCATGTTATGGTAACATTCCAGCTGTTAGAGAGACTCCGTAATTTAATCCGTTCTTAACCTTTGTTTGTTTTTGTTTTGTTGGGTTAGGCCCTTTCGGTCCATTGAGACCAATGCAGAGCCGGAAGGATTATAGGAATTGGGGTAAACATTGGTATGGACAGGCACCCTAGAGAGTCACCGGGTCTGAGCCCGTCCGAATGGACAGGCCGCCCAGCCCCCCAAGCACTCTCTGCACCCGGCTACGGGTGTGCTCCCATGGGAGCAGTGGTGCGCTTCAAGGGAGCAGCCCGCATGAGATAAAGTTGCCTGTCCAGCCCGGATCAAGAGTTGCTGCGTGGAGGAGAAGGATTTGAACTTGATCTGAACATCCTGAGGATGGAAACGACGGACGGGTGTTGCGTTCACACCCGTTTCCCCGTGCCTTTCAACACTGGTTGCGGCGGGCGGCCGGCTCCCCTCCTTAGTGAAGATATCCGCGCCGCTAGATGGCAGCCCGCTCCGCGGGTACACCGATAACAAAGGGAATCGGGGAGAGTTGCCGATCCGTTAGGTGATCCGTGGATTAGGTATTCCTGGATCGGACACTCCGCCGATTTTCCGACCACCCGGCGGCGGCGGCGGATTTCCCGACGGCGAGGGCGCTGGCGTCATTTTAGCATTGCGGGCTATGGGCGGAGCGTGTCTTTTTCTATACTTTTGTCGTTTATTACTTAGGGGAGAGCGGGGTGAGTTGTATCATGGACAAGTAGTATCAGAGCGAATTTCGCCAAAACTATCCGCCAGATCGCAGACTTGACGCCACTGTTCGGGACGCCGCGTTGCGCGCCGTCTTTCCGTGTTGTGCCGTCAACAAGAGTGGACGCGTTTTCGGGCGAGTAACGAAAATGTGTTTTGATGGGTCCTTAGTAAGAAATGCGTTCTTTAGGAAATATATGTTTTTGGCTTTTATATGTTGAGAGCTTTCTATTGTTTTACCACTATAAGTGAGAGTCAACATTGCTCTTAATCACAACATAATTCGTTTCGCGCAACGAAACATGGCGTATAGCGTTTCATAGACCTTCTCTTGAAATGACGCACTTGGACAAGTTGTATCAGAGTGTGGTGGGGAATGTTGTATCAGTGATACTACAACAGTGATGTCAGTGATATCAGTGATATCAGTGATATCAGTGATAGCAGTGATACTACAGTGATACGGTGATAATACATTTAGTTTCGGACAAACAGATCGCGTTATGCGCTTATATTGAAGAAATGGTTCAATGATTTTGCTATAGGGTCATCCGTACCCTTCAGCGACACCAAGAAATCGTTGATCTGCTGGCTGGAGCTGGACGTCGCTATTCAGGATACTTTTCTTGTTCTCTGGACTGTGTAGAAGTGTATATACAACGTCACACTTTCTAATCATAAACCGTTGATACATCTTTACCCACCGTGCGGTACAACTTACCTCACTAGTGAGGCGAATTGTATCAATTGAAGTGGTCCCATTTAAAGCGAGGTGTAGGCAAGATAAGAAACCTTAGCGTAACGCGCAGGAGAGTGTATGTAGACAAACGTTGAAGCTTTCCTTTGGTATAGCAACGGTCATTCTCCTTGTTAAATCTAAGGAGAAATTTGACCTAGAGTAAAAACTGATACAACTCACCTCGTTCTCCCCTACCTATAACCGATTTTGATGAAAATTTTTGTGAACCAGGTAGAACAGGAATTGAGGAATGTCATGGAAATATTCTTTTCCCAGTTTTGATTTAAGAAGTTGCTTAAATTCTGCTGACAAATGAGGGTTCGTGATTACAGCCGAAGAGCCAATGTTGGAATAAAGTTAAGTTTAATGCGATAAGGGCGGCCGCTTGGTCGCCGGCGCTAGTGTTGGGGAATAGGGAGTGTCCTATCCAGGAATACTTCATCCATGTTTATACCACGGATACCGCGCAAGGCATACCGCGCAGCCCTAAAAACCACGCGTCGAATGTCGATCATCGAAGTTGTCCAGCGTATATTCGGATGCAGTATGAGCAGAGCATGGGTCCCGGAAAATTCTTCAGAAACTAGAGAAATTCTCGCGGGGCAGGACGTCTGTCAAACTAGCAGCGAGCAGCGAGCAGCGAGTCCAGCAGCGAGAAACGGGCCATCCCGATTTAGCTGAAAATTTGCTCACAGCGCCTTCTCAGCACGCTGATTCCGAAAATCATGGTCTCTAGGGTGGGAATCTTTACCGTTCTCGAGATAGAACCCTCTAAAGTTTTCGACACCCATGACCGGGCCATCCCGATTTGGCTGAAAACTTGCTCACAGAGCCTTCTCAGCACGCTGATTCCGAAAATCATGGTCTCTAGGGTGGGAATCTTTACCATTCTCGAGATAGAACCCTCTAAAGCTCGTACCACCCATGACCGGGCCATCCCGATTTGGCTAAAAATTGGCTCACAGAGCCTTCTCAGCACGCTGATTCCGAAAATCATGGTCTCTAAGGTGGGAATCTTTACCGTTCTCGAGATAGAACCCTCTAAAGTTTTCGGCACCAAAGACCGGGCCATCCCGATGTGACTGAAAATTGGCTCACAGAGCCTTCTCAGCAAGCTGATTCCGAAAATCATGGTCTCTAGGGTGAGAATCTTTACCGTTCTCGAGATAGAATCTCTAAATTTCTTACCACCCATGACCGGGCCATCCCGATTTGGCTGAAAATTGGCTCACAGAGCCTTCTCAGCACGCTGATTCCGAAAATAATGGTCTCTAGGGTGGGAATCTTTACCTTTCTCGAGATAGAACCCTCTAAAATTCTTACTACCCATGACCGGGCTATCCTGATTTGGCTGAAAATTGGCTCACAGAGCCTTCTCAGCACGCTGATTCCGAAAATCGTGGTCTCTAGGGTGGAAATCTTTACCGTTCTCGAAATAAAACCCTCTAAAGTTCTTACCACCCATGACCAGGCCATCCCGATTTTGCTGAAAATTTGCTCACAGAGCCAATTCTTAGCACGCTGATTCCGAAAATCATGGTCTCTAGGGTGGGAATCTTTACCGTTCTTGAGATAGAACCATAGGCGCGGGAGCCGGGGGGGGGCAGTGGGGGCAGCCTGCCCCCCCAACTCTGGGGCCGTGGGGGCGGTGCCCCCACAGCTTTGAGACGGAATACCACACTTTTTTTGCAAATGCTTTCTTTTTTTTGTTGAAAAAGCCGAGGGGTGAAAAATAAGTGGCCTAAAACCGGTGAGAAAACTAGATTTGGGGGTACCCTAGGTTAATCTCTATTATGGTGTGCCCCCCCAGTCGGAAAGTAGTTCCCGCGCCCCTGGATAGAACCCTCTAAAGCTCTTACCACCCATGACCGGGCCATCCCGATTTGACTGGGATGGCCCGGTCAATTTGACAGACCATGATTTTCGGAATCAGCCGCAGCGTGCTGAGAAGGCTCTGTAAGAAAATTTTCAACCAAATCAGGATGGCCTGGTCATGGGTGTCGAAAACTTTAGAGGGTTCTATCTCGAGCAGGCGTGCACCGTGAGCAGCGTCACCGGGAATGTGGCGTCAGCTGATTGATACGTTTGCTGCTTTTGAACAGGTGCGTACGGTACATATCGTTCACATTAAAAACTAATTAATGCTATTATAAATTGAATTCATTATTTTTTATAAATTGACACTGTATATTATTATAATGTGTCAAACTATTATTATTCGAATGTGACATTCAATGAACAATCAAGTAATTGTCAAAAGGCTCGAATTATAATTTGAGTCTTGGCGACTAAATAGAAATAGCATATCAACCTCGTAGAAAAGAAAAGCATAAGCGTATTTGTGAGAAAATGGTTAGAATTGAATTTATCAGCGAGTCGCTTTCCTGATTGATCTTATTTTGGCATTGCTTTTTATTTCACACCCGCAACCATACATACCTGGTGCCGAATATCCCGCGGCGGGCATGGACACAACACTTGCGGCGGGGACTCTGCCATCGTCAGCCCAGCTTGATGCAAAACTGCTTCTGTAAATAAAATAACACTGAAGTGGTGCTGGTTCTCCAGCTATTATCTTCAGTGCAAATGAAGGCCGAGAGAACGCGCCTTCTTAAAGTTTTAATTATATGACATCCCGGCGTACTGCACGTCGTCGTGGGTGGTGTTTCACGGCCGCTGCTAGCACCCTGCCACCATACGCAGCGAAATCGGTTTCCAGACATTGTTGTTTGTTGTTAATTAGGACTTACGGGCGCGTCGACTCCGGTGGTCATTTTGCGCCAATCTGTTTCCAGACATTGACAAGCTCGGACGTCCCAATGTTGAATGACGCTAGCTGGTCTCCAAAAGCCAACACAGTGATTTGTCTGACTTAACCTATTACCTAACATCGACGTGACTTGTGGACCGACGCATGGAAAATGTACCAAAAAAAATCCGTCTCGACCATCCGTTCGGAAGTTTGATGAGCAAACTAAACCTGCATCCCTCCCAGCAATTCGTATATTCATCTCAGTACTTCAAGAAGTCCGGGTTAAAATATGCGCACAAAACGCACGTTAACGAATTTAAAACGGAACTAAGCTTCAGCACTCACACGCAAAACTGAGGCGAAACTTGAGTTGTCATTCAATTATAAATGATGTGAATTTACCACGAGCACAGAGTAGCAACCAACAGCGCAGAACCAACATGCTCGGTCCGAACTCCGAACTCAGCTCTGCAGATACAGCTCTCACCGCGCCGAACAGTCTCACAAACGGCAAATTACCGAGGTTACCACGATCACGAATATGAATGATCATTGGTCACCAAAACTATATAGTGGGGATGTGTTGCCCGCCAATCGTACTCACTTATGTTCACAATAAAGTCACCACAGTTACGTCTGATGCGTGAAATTCATGGCATTCGAATAGGTATATCAGTAATATCGCGGTAGGGGAAGCACACAGGTCGTGTTTAAAGTACAGACAAGTCCGCCAAACAAATACATCCATCATGATAGATAACGAATGTTAGTTAAAACTCACCGGAACTATCGTTCTCATACATACGGCTACGGGAAAGGGGGGATGAACGTCACAATGACCAACTGCACAGCAAATGAATCGTACAATTATCACAGTTATACTTTGATCATAACGAACTTAACCTAGCACCGGTGTAATTCCTCCCCGCTTCCCGCTCTTATCTATCATCTGATCATCCTCGCAACTATCTCATTCAAAGTTAGGTTATCACCCCGACCAGCACCCTATTTCCACCAAAGGGTTCACTCCATGCAACACTGTCAATCCCGTGACAGACCGTGCCGCGCCGACCGTCCTTAGCGCCACCATGCCTCCGTTAAACTTTGGGTGACAAGCCCGCCGGTCAGGACGCCTCGGCGGCTTGGCGCCGCATCGCCTCCGCAGGGGCAAGACTCGATAGGAAGCGCAGATCTGATCTGCATGATTTGCAAAGCCATGTCCAGGATCCCCGATGACGTCCGGAAGCCTTGAGTCATTCGCTCGACCGCTCCAGTTGGTATTTCGCAGAGCACCGCCGCCGCCGGCTCCCGCCACAGCCAGCGCAGCGGCGAGGCACGCAGACTGAGAAGCCACACAGCAGTCGTGTTGCACACCGCCGCCGGCCCCCGCCATAGCCAACGCAGCGGCGAGTCCACCTGGTCTTGCGGCACGCAGAGAGGCCACACACAAAAGTCTTGTGACGCGCAGAGAGGCCACAGTCTTGTGACGCGACGGACGAGCCGCCCAGCGCGCCATCCACGTAGATGCTTTGCTATCTTCGTCCACAGGACACCACCGGACTGTCGTCCACGAGTCTAGAAGGGTACAGAACGGACGGTCAGACGGCCTGAGGTGAAAGAACCACGGGGAGACGGTCACGTATGTGTGTGTGTGGGGGGGGGGAGGGGGAGGTAATCCGAGTGAATTGAGCGGAGACACTTGGGTAGTACATTGCAAAAATAGGACAGATATCTGACTAGCTGGGAGACTTTTAAGCCAGGCACACACATCTCGGTAGTGAGTCCGGTTTCGAGTCGCTTCGGCGCTCAATATATGCAATTATTGACGGGGATGGTCAGTTGGTAGGAGTAGTCGCACTAAGTTGAAGTCAGTGGAGTGGACAGGCCGTGTCTGGCTTTACTGGCCTGGGTACATTTAACTTTATTTCAACATTCAAGCACAACTTTGGCATAATTCGACAGTTCCTAGCAAGAACATCCTTAGTGTCAAATTTTTCGAAGTTGAGATTTTTATACCATTCGACTCAGCTCGACGAGCTGAGTCGAATAGTATGAACATCTCAATTTCGAAAAATTTGACACTTGGGATGTTCTTGCTCGGAACTGTCGAATATCTTAACTATCCAGTTACCCGGCATAACGTGACCGGACGGCAAGGATCGTGGCCGACGCAACAAGCTCTGCTTAGCGAGGACTCTGGCTGTTTATCTACACATGGTGAAACATTGGAGTTAACTTTATTTTGAAAAATGTTTCGAACGGCCCCATAATCGAAGTTCCTGTCAAAATGCTTACAATATCAACTGGCATGCGCAGCAGCTAACATTGACCTGTATATTTTACAATATCTTTCGGACATTTCGGAGCCGGAATTCCTTCACTTTCTTACCTGCATGAACATTTCGGAGCCGGAATGGGTCTCTGTAGTATAGATAGCGTCAAAAGCGGCCAACGGTGTTTGCGGTTCAACTTCTTCAGAAGATCACTGGACAGTCTTGCTGGTAGTAACATCAGTGCAGCGCGGCGTGTCAGGACGTGAAGCTGCTACACAGGGCTGCGGAGTCGATGGATTTACGGCGACTCCGACTCCGACTCTGACTCCGACTTTCAAAAACCAGCTCCGACTCCGACTCCGACTCCGGGCAGAATTGTCGACTCCGACCGACTCCAACTCCCGACTCCGACTCCGCAGACCTAGCAGGGCTGCGGAGTCGACAGATTTTCGGTGACTCCGACTCCGGCTCGGGTTTCTAAAATCGACTCCGACTCCGACTCCGACTCCGGTCACAACTGTCGACTCCGACCGACTCCGACTCCGACTCCGACCGCAGCCCTGGGCCTACACTGCACGTATCGCCCGCCGTGGCCGCGTCCGCGTACCAGCCCTCGGGCCATTTCGCCATCGGCCGCGCTGTTCTTACGGCTGTTCGGTGTACCGTGCGAACATACGTCCAGCATGGTCGGCCCCTGCGGTAACTGTGCCGCCTCCTTGGCTAGTGTGTCGACTGTCGGCACGCTTATTACCCTACAGCCCGCACCGGAACCGGCGTTGTGAATCCGGTCATCTTTCTCCCCGCGCAAGCAGGGACTGCCACACTGCAACTTCGAGTATTCACTGCTGTGTCGCCGGTCTCGAGCAAAGGGCCGGCTGGCTGTCCGTACTCCGTAGTTTGGCAGATGACTAGTGGGTCCCCCTGCTCATCCTCTGAGTGGTCCAGCAGCTCGCGCAGCGCTGCGACGAGGTCCACCATCTCGGCTCTGTAGCTGCAGCATGTGACCGGCCCGCCTAAGCTCGCTCGACGTCGGACCGCGGCCCGGGAGAGAACAAGCTGGGCCGACTGGCCGAGCTAGGCTAACTGCACCGGGTCCATGCTGCCGGCCGGTGCACCTCCCATGCACGGCGCTCCAAGACTAGGAGATGATCGGATACGGCGAATGCTGCCACCGCCGCCCCAGGTGAGCTGTACCAACCATTGCCAATGCATCGGTCAGCCGGGCAAGCCCTGCCACCAACGTGGAAGACAAGCTGAAAAGCACAGGGAACGAATCCCATCAGCAATCTGTGTGGGACACCATGGTAGGGGACATCATTGTACAAGCAGACAGGGATAGGGAACAGCAGTTATGACTCATGGCGTCAAAGAAATGAACAATGAAATTCACACTATACATCACATAAAATACATGTACAGCACAATTTCAAACACCCAAGTCCCTCCACACTCCCATGATATTGTCAAGATGATCATGTTTTGAATTTGCGGCACTGGTAAGGCTGGCATCACCAACTGCAGAAGCTGCATGGTAGGTTGTAGGTTTTAGTTTTTTGTTTTAGATTGGTAGGTTGCAGGTTGGTTGGTAGTAGGTTCATAGGTTTTATGTTTTTAAATTGGTAGGTTGTAGGTGTAGGCATTGTGAGGTAGCACCAGGTTTGTTTAGGTTAGATACGCTGATAGCGACACCAGCTTTACTGATACTGAAAATGCAATCTAGCAGTCTGGCCAGTCTATAATGCAAATCAGTCTGGCGCACTGTGGTATCTCCGATTCATTTATGGAGACATTTCTATTATTGGAATCGTTTCCAAATTTGACCACTCTTCTGTTCCAAAAATGGAAACGCTCGTTCCATAGACACGCTAACATCTCCACACAAAATTTTTTGCCAAGGGTGGCTGGATTTGATGTATAACCGCTGTTTCACTTTAAACAAGCACGGATACATGAAAAGCACTTGTCTTCTTGCATGGAAAGCTGTTGTATGCATTCAAATTCACCACTTTGAAATGCTCCTGAATCGTATCCATTTATGGAGACTTAGTTTCCAAAAATGGAAATGCCGATGTTCCAAAAATAGAGACGCTGAAGTACAAATGTGTGCAAACTGAGCTCAACTGTGTTTTAGCAATGTGTTTTAGCAATGTGAAATTAGCAAAATAACATCTATATAAAGTATCAGACAACCAGATGAAGATCTGGCATCGGATATATTATAAAATCAACAATTAATTCAGAGAACTCGAAGGCTGTATCAAGAGATCAAGAACATTTGATTGAGCAACCACCAATTGAGACCTATTTTTGAAAACAGCCGTAGGTAGTTCCGCAACCTTCCCTCATTTGAAAAACAGACGTTGGTAGGGTCAACAACGACATGAAATATAATCCATATTTCATCCTCTTTCGAACCTTACAACTCTCATTGCTCCACAATTAATGCAAACATGTGAATTTCAGCAACTTATGCTTCAATGTTACGAAGTAGAACACTTTTAACCCAGCTAAGTATCGCATGGTTCCAATAGTTACAATGCAAAATGATGGCATTTGTAGGAAAGGATAACATATAAAGGAAACATATTGAATTATGCTACCTGCATTGTCCTTTCTTCTCGAATTAAATCACTTTAAAGTACAACTTCGTCATTGCATTGGTCATCACCACAAGTCATTGACCTCTATTAGTACCTACTTAATGGACCTACCTACTTATACTATATACCTACTTATACTTAATGGATTTAGAAATTCATTTTCTTTCGAAAAATAATACATTTTATAAGTTTCAACGCCTAGGTATCGATATATTTGAGAATTACTGAAGGCATGACGATTCTTCAGGTATTATAGAGGTCAATGCCACAAGTCACGAGACAAAAATGGAGGGGATGTTACGGAAATGGCGCACTGCCGCTTGTACGGTTTATATTTCGAAACAGAATTGATGGGCAAAATAAGCCATTTTGCACTAATTGATAAGATTCACCCAGCAGTGCAATAGAAAACTTATCTACCACATATTACAGATCAATCAGTGTTTGGGGCTACCAATGTCTCATTTTTCAGCTACCTCTTTACCACAGTGACACTTTGCATGGCGACACTGACACATAAAGTACTGAAATTCACACATTTGCATTAATTGTAGAGCAATGAGGGTAACACAGTTCGAAAGCAGACGAAACATACATTATAATTCAATTTTTAGTTGACCCTACCAATGTCCACGTTTTCGTAAAAGGCGCCTCATCAAAGTTACCCCCGTCCAACTTCAGCACAAAGTTGACATTTGGAGACCTGTGCCTTCTCTCCCTGTTGTTATTTCCCAATAAATTTATACTTAATGGATTTAGAAATTCATTTTCTTTCGAAAAATAATACATTTTATAAGTTTCAACGCCTAGGTATCGATATATTTGAGAATTACTGAAGGCATGACGATTCTTTATATAATTACAAAATTCCTGGCGAAGACGAATTTAGATAAAAATAATAAAAAATATGTATTTATGAAATCACATTGGATGATTGTAGACAAACTTTTATGAAAATCTATAATGTAGTTAGGGAGAAAATATCTTGCAAGTTGTGCTAGCAACAGTTGTCAAGACCTGAACCCGTTGCCCGCATGCTGAAGGAATTTCTCGGCGTTACCTAGTGTTTTTATATACCTTGATCTCGAGAAGGGTAAGCCCCGATAGAGAGAGCCCCATGCTCTGCTCATACTGCATCCGAATATACGCAGTTGTCCACGCGGTGGCTATAGAACTCAGATAGAACTCCTCCGAGAAGAATGTCTATAATTTGACATTTGAAATATTAAGAAGCAAAGAATCTTTTGAGTAGCACACAACATAATGGTAAGCTGTCTGATTTTGTCATCTTGCCGAATTGGAATGCAAGGCCGTTCAAACAAGTGCTGATTGCGTAGGTAGGTATATACCTAGCTTGCCTGTTTCCCTTGTGGGTCATCACGTCATTATTCGGTCAGGGTGGTCAGGTCATATAGCATTGTGATATACATTAATTTTGTAGCTTTTCGATTTTAAGCTACCACTAAAGGTTGCAATGCATACATCATTACCTACAGGCTACACAGCACTAACCAGTCAGAATTTGGGGTATTAGTAAAGCAGACGTCACATGAAGGTTTTCCAACCAAGGAGAGGCGCTATACCCGGAGGTGCTTCTTTCTAACAAAGCCTAAACAAACCACACTGAACCTGACTTAGCCTAACATACAACCTACAACCTACAACTGACAAGCCTACAACCTAAAACCCTATACAAACCTACCCTACAACCTACAAACCAACAGCGCATATCCTTGGTTGGAGGACCTTCGTGTGATGTCTGCTCTACTAATGCCGAATTGGATACAGTGCTGCCGTGCTGTCATGGTTCGGGGTGGCACCTCCTTTGTGTGATGCAGATAAAACCTGCAGCATGGTTCTTTGGGCAGATTGAATCATATCAAAAATAGCTTTATTTTGTCTTGCAAGCATTGACACAAATGATTTGGAAAGCATTGCCTGGGGACGAGAAGGGAGTTTGCTGTTCCCAGGAAGGAAACACCACGTCTTTACAGGTGGATGTAGCATTCTGGATGGCTAACAAGGAATTCGCCCCTAGCCCAGACCAATTCTCTCCACTAAACTCATTGTCTGGGGGTGCTCTCTACTTGATGCTCAGTGCTCATTCTAATTTATTTTACAGGGCAAGCTTGAGAAGAAAAAAGAGCCCAAGCTGGTTCACCCCAATAGTAGAAAGGCTGCTGCAATTGTGAAGAAGAAGATAAAGTAAGTATACCCAAACATGCATTGTTAGGTATTTTAAAGTAATCCACACTCTTAAGATATAGCACAAGCTTTTAACCCTTCATTGTTATCATCATGACTGATTTTTTTCCCTCTGCTCCACATAAGACATCATATGACAAGTAGGCCCCAGCCTTCCCATCTTACCCCACTGCAGGTAACATTGTTGTAATAATATAGTACATATCATCCAGGGATGCGGAGCCGTGGAAATTTCATACGGCTCCAGCTCGGGCTCCGGAGATAAAAAATTGGCTCCGGCTCCGGGTGAAATGTCATGGCGGCTCCGGCTCCGGGTAAAATAGTCCGGCTCCGGCGGCTCCGGCTCCGGCACCTACTCGGTACAACCCCTATGCGATCAATTAAATACGGGTGAAGAAAAAAGGCGATGAGATTGGTACACGTTGCTTCTGTATTTGCATAACAAGGCTATTTTGAATACCACATTGTTTTACGCCTTGTACTGTCAAACCGAACTAGGTAAATAATTTTTTCCTCTTTAAAAAAAAAGGAGCCGAGGTCGCCCGTCGCCCCCTTTTTTTGACGGCTCCAGCTCCGGCTTCGGCTGCGGACTATATTGTTTCACGGCTCCGGCTCCGGCTCCGGGCAAATTATGCCGGCTCCGGCGGCTCCGCCTCCGCATCCCTGGACTATCATAACAGTTCACACCAATACCTTTTGCTAGTCATCATCAACCTATGATGAAGTTTACCCATCATGAAGCCAAAGTTATGATGCATAACCTTTGACAAAGCCTGTGTGTGTACTGTGTAGGTCAGGCTCGACCAATTATTGATACTTTTACAGAGCGGTTTTTCTTAAGTTCGACCCTCACTGGACAATGTCTTTTTGAACATAGCACACAACTTGCCCAGAAAATGAGTGGGAAAATTGGTCGGTGCACATTGTGTGAAAGAGACGAAAATATTGTCAAAATTTATTTTGAACACCGATAAAGTAGCGTGTAGCTTAAATACCGTGCAATTGAAATATTGATTGATGAGTTCAGTGATGATTCTCGACAAGTCTAGTATCGCTGTGGGATATAGCCAAATACTCATTGTGAGTCCGGGAAATGGGAGTCAAATACAAACAGTTTTGAACAGGTTAATCAACATCTGTAAAAAGCAGTGTACGCTAACCAGTTTTCCAAAATTATCTAACAAACCTTGTGTCTTGTTTAGAGTGACGATTACAGTGAGGGTCGAACTTAAAACGAACGATGCATCTTTTGTCGCCGCTCAGGACAGCGCGCAGGGAGCAGAAGAAGGAGCGCGGACATCAGCACCTGAGGTTGCTCTCAGAGAGGCTCGTCTGGTTCAGGGACAACCTGCCGGCTGAAAAACAGAGGTTCACGGTGGAGCAGACACATCAGCTCATTGAACAGTGAGTACCTATACAGGCAGGCGAGGGAGTGAGAGGTAGGGTAGAGTAGAGTAGAGTAGAGTAGAGTAGAGTAGAACAAAGTGAATGTATGGAAGAGTGTAATGTATTGGGTGGATTGAGCGAGTACGATTGAGTGAAGGTGTAGGTCAGGTTAAGGAAATGGGGTAGAGTGAATAGGGTGGAGCAAGAGAGTAGGAGAGCATGAGGGAGTAGGTTCTGAGAAGGTTGAGATAGGGTGGGGTGAGCACCTTTTCAACAAGTCGCGTTTACTCTGAACATAATGGACTGGACCATTTTGAAGTGAAATATTGCTATACAAGATAATTGTCAACCACGGTGATGCAACCTTATGTGTATGCATCAACTGCATGCTTAAATTTCCATATGAGAATCTACATCATTATGAGTATTATGATAACAAAACCAAAACTTTCACATCACTTACTATTCACGCACATAGTCAGCACCATTCCCCTACAGTGGGCTTACCCCCCCCCCCCCGTACCCCCTCCTTACAGATATATCGCGCGCCACACTGCTGAGCTGGAGCAGCTGAGAGGTCGCGCTGCACCTCGGGGACCCGCCGGGCGGCGCGCCAAACCCCCTCAGAGGCTGGCCGCACTGGAGGCTACCCTGCGTGCCGAGACAGACGAATTCACGCAGGGCGGCATTGGTGAGCGACCGGAATATTGAAAATTCGGGGGTGGAACACGGATTAGATAGTAATGAGAATGCCTGTCATAAGGATATGATGGCTGAAATAAGGGTGGAATCGGAGACAAAACGTTTTGGCTGGTTCAGTTTTAGCAAGTAACTTTTCTAGCATTATCGAACATGCAAAAAGATTGCCTTTGTGTGCTCACTGCTCATTATGCACGAATTTCGACTCAAAAGAATGCCAAATTACCGATTACGTGGACTGGCCGCAGGTGATTCGGCTGACCTTGACCTCCCGTGACCCTGCAGAGGTGGCTGACCTGACCAACGAGGAGGCTGTTCTGTACCTTCGCGCCTGGGACGGACAGGTCAAACTCGTTCCGCAGATCAAGACCCGACGCTTCATCCGTGGCCGCCTGGCGGAGCCGGCAGCAAACACAGCTTCCGAAACTGGCCAACAGATGGCAGAAGAGGCTGTCAGCGGCGAGTCGGAGACCGAGGAGATGAAGGACGATAGCTGATAACAAATATATGACGACATATGTAAGTTTGTGTGGAATTGCTGCAATACGCGATGTAAGCGTCATGAGCTGACACAATATTTCGATTCCTTGCTGTTGATTGGAGCTATTACACTCTGCGGGCGCGCCGGCGGCATCCATGGCCGACCGTGCTGTTTACAGACAGTTCAGAGTAGCAATTCGATCATGGTTGATCACAGCCCAGCCCGGTGCGACGCCCCGAATCTCGCTTTAGCAAATTAAAGGATCCTCAAATTTACGGAAGTCACTGAGCTCAATGCTTGCATTTACAGGAAATCGAGTTTTTAAGTTCGCCTTGATCAAAAGAAGCAAGCTAGCGCTTTAACGAATCTTCATTTAACGGCAGTTCTTGTTTTATCAAAGCTTTGCTGCATTATGACTCGTCTCCTTCAACAAAACAATCACAAGCTGCATTTATCTCGACCAGTGCATGTATTATATAAAAGCTGAATAAACTACCAACACGACACAGTAAACCAAGTTCTAAGAAGCTAGGCGCACGGGCATACATCAGTGAAAATGTGCCATAGAAATATAGAATGAAGCAAAAGCGAACCGGTTATCAACGTATCCATTATAGTGTGCAAAAATTAACGGAGTTGATCTTAAAGCTAGCATATAGACACTTAACTAGACATTTGTAAATAAGAATCCGCAACCAAGCATCCAGCAAACGTGCCTGTCTTATGATTGATCGTAATCGTTTGCCCATGCGGTAAAACAGTCAATGAAGCGAAATACATGTAACATGACGCCCTTTAGAACGACGGCGAAGTAAAAACGTTGAGTGTTTTCTGCGCATTCGTAAACGTTTTTTACAGACATCACAGCAACATATTACCTTGATAGCACACGGAGTTTGTGCGAACGCTAATATCTACACCGCTGTACCGACGCCGCCTTCGAGTGTATGTAGTTCCATTCACACACATTGCACTTGGGACATTCCAAGGCTGTGAAATCATCTGCGACCGACACTTCCGCGGGGCTAGACCACATCATCGGCGAATGATAGGTACTAGTGAAGTTGTAGTGCAAATGTGAGTGTGCATGTGGTTGTTTTCGCAGCGTAGTGCACCACGCGGATACCATGCAGTGTGGCGCGTCATTCGAGCACCCCAGAAGGGGACGGGCGCGCACACATCCCCAGCCACACACGCAAACAGAGATGCAGACAATAAACGCTCACTTAAACCACGACTACGCATCGGACGAGTGGATACACCCCATTCGCTCGTACCGCACTGACATCACGTTCCGATTCAAAAGGTTAGGCTGAGTATAACTCAGCGATGCATGGAACACTACCGAGATTTGGGAGAAAGTCCAACCGAAACGCTTACATCGAAACTGCGGCGATTCGGCGTTAGTTTTTCGGCGCCGTTCGGGAACATTTGAGCGGGAGGTCACTCTCACTCGCTTAAAGGAAATAGTTCACTTTTAACATGGGGTTTGGAACTGGAATAGCAGTTTTGTTGCTTGCGCTGAGACTAGCACAAATCAGAAGCTTTTACGGCCCAACGATCACCCTAGACGAAGATATTCCATTTTTCGTTCCGAAAAGAGTGCCTTGCAGAGGAATGCGTGCCTTGCAGAGGAATGCAGTCACGTCATCGTCAGCCAATCAGAATGCTGCTTACAGCCGATGGGTTTGTCCTACGCAATATGATTGGTCAACGCGTAATAAGCTTCCGCGTCAAACATTATTTCATATAGAATATAGTTCTTCCTATACTAAAATATAGAAAATAATCCTTTTTACAAAAACGTTTTGTTTTATTTTCTGATCATTTTGAGCATAAAAAAACATAAATCCATAGCAAAATACTAATTTCAGGAAAGTGAACTATTTCCTTTAACTCACATGCTTATGCTTCGGGACGTTGGCATATACAGAGCTCGCACGATCTACGCTAAGTAGTACATAATCTCAGTGACTTTACCCTATACATCGTGGAGCGCGACACGAGTACGATCTCGGACATTGTTGTCATTCGTACAGCACGTGCTCCGGTCAAAACACGACCGTTTTAGTACCGTTATTTTGCGTTAACCTATGATGGGCTCGTAACGCGCGCAAACCCTCACTTCTGACATGTACTCAGACATAATGTTGTCAAGCACAGTTGTTTCACACTCGAAAGCCTTTTCATATGATCAGTATCTACCAATGGACACTCAATGCTCGTCGCGATAAGTCCAGCGCTGACCAACCCCTGTTTGATTTTTGTCGGTACGTCTTTCCACAAGTTGTATCCACCACGAATACCATTCAGAAGATGAATTCACCACGAATATCATTCAGAAAGCTTGGCGATGAAACAGCACCCTCCTTGGCCGCTTCCGAAAGGAATGAGATTCGACTGTTCTGTCACGTCATCACTTTCCACCAATCACCGAGCAAGGACTCGACCCGCTGACCAATCAAAAGTCGCGACAGTCTATCCCCACCAATCCGGTCGGCAGATCTGACGTCACACTTTGGCGATATGAAAAACATCTGCCAAAGCGCTACCACATACTCTGAATAGAGAGCTTCATATCGGGCACGGTAGAAGTTTTCTGGAAGACAGGAAGCTGGAGGGCTTCCGCAGAGGAGCGAGTCTTTACAAGAATAGGCAGCAGAGCATCCGGCGCAGAGCAACGAACATGTGGAGGATGGATGCAATGGAAAATGTCAAGGATAATGAGAGGATAAAGGTGGCGTAAAAAACGTCCCCGTAAATATAGAACGGAAATTGACCCAGTCCACTAACGGACATAAATATCTTCAAGCACAAATAATGCTTGGATGGGCAAATGCTATGGCTAAATGTACCCCGACTTAATGGAAATATTCATTGTTGACTCAAATATTTAAGCCGAAAAAGTACTGGATGATGGACAGTTTTGGTAAAAATAAGCTCAGAGCCTGTGGAACAAGTTCCGCTTTACGTAAATTTTGGCTTTAGATATCCCATTGAAAAATTCCACTAGTACCATAAAATCCAATAAAATTTTCCTAGCATATCAATATCGCTTTTGCATCAACCAACAGATCATTAGCGAAAAAAAAAAACCTTGAGCGATTACTTAATCATCACCCCAGCGGTTGAGGGGCGGCCGGTCAGCATGCTGACCCCGGGACAGGTCAGGACAGAGGAGTAGAGTCGAGGGAGAGAGGTGGAGCGCCGGCGGGACCACACGGGACCATGGGGCCGGTCACGGGACCATGGAGACCGGTCACCGGACCATGGAGACCGGTCACGCCCGCGGCACACACCGTCAGCGCCACTTGGACTTTTGGGCGAAAATGTCCGCGCGTAGATTCTGCGCAAAGCAGATGCCGAGAATCTGAAAACGGGGGAGCGGTGTCAGCGGGGAGTGCTACAACCTGCGAGTGGGGACATCTGCTAGGGATGGCTAAATTTGGTGAAATGAAGGCGATTGCTGACACTTCACGTAAAACGCAAAACCGTTCGGGAGCCCTGTGCCAGGTTAATGTATTTCACGGAAATTCGGTAACGTAATTTTCCGATACGTAAAGATTAAGAATGGCAATTACAGGTGACCGCTATAGAGCAAGCTTCACCCATCCATATGGTCTATTACCACGTGGTCTCCATGTGAACAGTACGCTTCACACAGGGCAACGGTTGTGGGTAAATACACACAGAACACCAAACTATAGTGCATCTACCGAGCACAAACTACTACAACTAGTAAGCAGGCAGAAACGTTATACCTATTGCCTACCAAGACGGCGCTTTGGTGGCCCGTGAGGCTCTGTTTCCTTCGAGTAGTATTCATGTCTTACGTCGTCATACTCGAAGAAAAATTACGCATTCGCTATCGATTCCAAGCATGCCAACTCTCAATACCTAGCAGATAAAAACGCGCTTTTCTACGCCTACAGGAGTCAAAGCCACGCCCATTCATACTTACCAGAGATGCAGCCACGCCCATTCCTACCTGGGACGAAGCCACGCCCCTACCTACCTGGAGGAACGCCACTCCCACAGCCACGCCTGCTACAACCAGAAGATTTCGTTCGACCCAAGCTTCTCCAGCCGGTAGACAGCCCGTTTGGTAGATCTTATTGGCAGCGTCATGCGGCTGAAACAGCGCCGACGACGCTCATTGGCTGTTCAGACGGCTGGCCGCCGTTCATTGGTCGACACCGGCGCACGACGGTCGCTGATTGGTCGGGAGGTGAGTGATTCGGAAGACGATTAAGAGGTTGATTCTCAAGATATGATTGGACAAGGAATGCAGACGCAGGATGGGAAAATCACGTGCAAATGAATGAAGAGTCGCCGCCATGCAGAGAACCGATGAGACAGATTGATCCTTTCATGAGAACCAATGCGGGGAATAACCGAAAGGGCCCTTGTTGACGTTGCGTTAGTTGTGTAGCATGCAAGGAATGCAAGGTGTGTGGGCCATGTGGGCCAGAAGTATGCGGTTGGGATTGGATGCATGCGGTGTACGGTTCCCTACCTCTAACTCGGAAGAAAAAAGAGGTCGTACCCGTGGATATTCAACTCTTCGTATCCGAAATCGTAGTTGTTGTTTGTTGTTTACCGTTTTACCTTTTTACCTCTGAAGTAGGTATTTGACGCCATTCGTTGGTTTGTTCGTGCCTTCGACGCGAGTATCTCATAAGTTAGCCACTCAAGACCAAATTATGTTGGCTTTCTTCGTCCTCATCAATGTCTTCTTTTAACGAGCACATTATTGTCCTTCTCTCACTACCCGGTGACACAGCCGGCGACTGTCAAAAGACAAATCTGACACCAGCCCCGTGAATGGGTTGATGGCCCAATCCACTGTTCAGTTTCCATATCTTCTGGAAGAAACTAAATGCAAAAGCCGAGCGTAATTTTAAGAACAAGATTCGCAATTCGACAAGGAGAAGAAAACCTTAAGTTTTATCGCTGTCTATACTTATGAGAGAATCTTCATTTCAGGACCATACTGCTCGCGCCTCAAACGAAGAAAGACAATGGTTGTGGACAAAGATCCAATTGAGGCGATCCCTATGTAGTGCAGTGCTTCGTTTTCCAAATACTGCAATGGTCACGATTACGAAGTGACTGAGTCTCGTTGAACTTCTGACATGCTTACGATAAAGAGTTGACATCGCATAAGGAAAACATCATAACCAAAAGCATGCTACATTCACTATCAATTTAGATTTCATGGAGTTACATTGTAGCCAAATATGCTTGTTCCATTTACAAGAACATAGAAGACAGCAAATACCTCAGCAGAACGAATTCTAGGAGAGCAAGAGAGCATCTATTCTGAGCCAAAACTATGTTCAAAAAGAAAAGATCGCGAACATTCGGAACGACCTAACTGCTAATTGTCAGCCACCAAGAAGAAAAAAAAACAAAAAATAAGCCACAGCAAATTAAAGGATACAAAGCTCAACAACCGCAGAGAAAGCACAAATGCCAGGAATTAGCAAGCACAAAAAGGCAAGCGAGCGAAAAGAGTGCAGTCTCCAACAACAAAAGTCAACCGGTAGCCCTGGTGGCGGCAGCTCATAACTGAGTTTCTCTTTCTGTCCGACAGATGCCAGTACCTGCAGCACGGCCATTGCGACCGTGGCGCCGGCGATGGGCACGAGGTTCCGCTCGGCCCACTCCTCGCCGGCGCGCAGACAGCCGTTCTCGTGAATGACGGCGCCGCGCTCAGATTGCTGCCGAACGAACCACATGTTCGCCGGGTCGCCAACAGAGGGCAGCAGTGCGGTTAGTGCGGGGAAAGCCCAGTAGGCGAGAAAGCGAGCGTGATATTGGGCGAAGTTAACAGACATGTTAGCGGGGGGTTGCTTTTGTAGCGTGTGAGTATAGAGGGAAGTGAAGGGGACATTTTACCGAGTGAGTGAAAAGCAGTATGCCTATGCATTTCTTCTGCATAGCAAGTGAAGTGCAACTCCTAAAGCATGTGCGTTTGGTGCTTAGGGAAGAAAGGATCAGTGGCGGCGCCACGAATTTTTGCCAGTGGGGGCAAGCTTGAGGTGACCCGACTGTTGTCTGATGATACGCCAATCTGCAAAATCAATGAGCACCTTGCCCCTAGATGTTGCCATTCAAAATTATTATGGTTCTCATGTGACCTCGAAATTTATAGATCCGGGAACAGGGGGGGGGGCAGCGGGGGCGCTTGCCCCCCCCCCCCCCAACTTGGGAGCCGAGGGGGCGGCGCCCCCTCAACATTGAGGCAGCGAGAAAAGATATTTCCTCCCTTTTCCGGACTTCTTTCCTTCTCGTTTCCTTTATCCATCTTAACATCAACACACGGCATGTTCCTTGCCATCTGAATGGTTTCTGCTGATACAGTATCGATTTAACAACATCTGCTGTTGTCATCCCGCTTTGATTTGGGCATGATCTTGGCCATAAGTTTGGCAGGCCAGATTTTATACTGGACCATTTTGAGTCAACTTTGAGATTAAATACATACCTAACGTACAACGGTGGTAAAATCGTTGCTATAGTTATAACCTAGTTCCGGGTGTGAGGGAGGGGCGTGGGGCAATGAGTGCACTGACGTGGCGCCCTCGGAGGACCGGTATGGGATTAAAGCTCAGCGACACCAAGGGCTTGTGTGGTGCCTTCGGTTTTCGGTAGCACCCTTAGAATCACCGGCCATAGGGCCCTCAGAGCCGCCGGTAAGGGGCCTTTAGAGGCACCGGTGTGGGGCTGTCATGCAGGTGCCGGTGTGGGCGCTCAGAGGTGCAGTATATAGATTCTCTCAGAGGCGCCGATGAGGGTCCTTACAGGCGTTGATGTGGGCCCTCATAGACGCTGGTGTGGAGCCGTTACAGACGGGTGTGGCGCCTTTAGAGCTGCTGACGCGAACTCTCTACAAGCCGGCAGGGGGTATCAGTGACCAGCAAGGGGTCCTTAGGCCGGCAGAAGAAGTCTTGTGGGGTCCTTAGAGACCAGCATGGTACTGTCAGACGCCGGTGGGGCCCTCAGAGTCACCGGTGTGGGGCCCTCAAAAGTCACCAGTGGGTGGCCTTTAGATGCGCAGGTGTTGGTTGGGTCCTCAGAGCCGCCGATATAGGGCTTTAATAGGCAATGGTCATGTAGGCACTCAGAGTTGGGTGTGTGAAACCCTCAGAGACACCGGTGTGGGCCCTCATAGGCGCCGACGAGGGCCCCACAGTTGCCGTTATGGGGCCCTCAGAAAAATAAGTGTGGGACCATCACAGGTGGGAAATGCCCCTAGAACTGGCCTCTCATAAGCCAGTAAGACCTCTCAGAGGCCAGTAACGGGCCTTTGGTGACCACCGAGGTGACCTTAAAAGCCGCAAGAGGCCCTCAGAAGCTGGCGTGGGACTCTTTTGGAGATCTTAGTGTGGTTATTTAGGGCCCATGAGGTGATCTAACGAGCTCCATGGGCCCTTCTGAGTAGTAATATGGCCAATTGGCCATCGTTAACCTTCAGCGGTCAAATGGCGCCGCAGGGCCCCTCGGACCCGAGGGTCCCTTTGAACCCGATGGGGGGGGGAGGTACGTGTCCCCCTAGACCCCTAGCTATGCCACTGTTTCATATGCATCATGTCCGGTATTTTAGGCTCGCCCCCCAACTTCAAAATCGTTCCCGGGCCCCTGCCTCGAATGACCTTTGGTTGACTTTGACACATGAAAAGTCATTTGTGATGATTTCGTAGCCGCTGATCACGATTCTGGCATCCATTTTGCTCGAAGCATTCATTTAAGAGCCTTAGGATGGGAAAACATGTCTTAATTACTAGATGCCGGCAACGCTCTTGCGTTGCCTTGGGCCAGAATTGGATGAACGGAACTGAGGGCACACACCGGGCAAAACCACCGAAACCCAGACTGAGCTCGGACTGAACCTGAAACCAACCGAAACATCCCAAAAATGCTTAAAAGCACGTGAGATTGGTGTGGATATCTACAGGGTGTCCCATAAGTTCGTTTTCACCTATATTTTACGTTTATAGGCTCTCTTGCTTAAAGGCACGCTGAAATTGGTTCGTAACTGAGCTTACGTGGTTGCCATGGCTGGTAGCAATATGCTCCACAGTAACTAATTTCTGTAGACAAAATAGCTTTTGCTAGAGAGCCCGCTTCCTACAGAGACGGCTAACGCCGCAACATAGAGGTCTCCGATACGGGTACGTCTTAGTATTTAGTCAGCACGTGACCATTCTCGACGATTAAGGGTGATTGAGGCCTACCAGTCTGTAGCCAATGTTCATCGCTAACTGGACGCACAGCCAGCAAGTGACGGCGATGATTTGTCGGGAGTCAATCACGGTGAATGAACATGAGTAGGAGAATGAGTGGGAATAGGAGATATGCGACAGATGGTCCGAGAACGAACGTTTTGCTGATGCACTTGATACGGGGACCGTCAAAAACAGGCGTACTATAACCGCTTATCATGAATGTTGCACTGCTCTTCTGTTCCCTTTTCAACATCAGCCAAATTTTGTGGGGGCAAAAACATAGTCTTGCCCCCACGGCCTCCTGCCAGTGGGGGCAGTCTGCCCCCACTGCCCCCACGGTGGCGCCGCCCTTGGAAAGGATACACCTGAAACAGCTGTCATAGTTGGGGTGAATTACGAAATATTAATGTCTAAGTGATGGGATGATGTACTTTGAGCCGTAGGACGAGGATACACCATTACTAAACATATGGTACGGTAACCACTAACCAAACAAGCACAATGTCAAAGCGTCGCAAAATAACGATTACTTATTTGCAAATTACAATTGCTTTTCCCGCAAGAATGAGCACTAAATCTTAGCTTGCAATTCAAAATACGAAAAGCATGATGAAGTTAACTGTTTTAACAACAACCCCAAAGCAACGTTCTTACGAAAAATGGGCAAGAAAAACTATCGTATTCTATCAGCATCCAAGAATGTATGAGCAGTGTAAATACAAATTGCAGATTTTCTGTCGCGCTTAGCGCTGTTGTTTGCTTGTAATCAAAACGTATCTAAACCACTCATGCATCAATTCTCCAGCAAATATATCGCCCGAAAAGCTTATCACTTCTACTGGCCAGCTAAGCCTAACCTCTCTGGCCAAATTAAGTGTGTGAGAGATGTGTACTTACATAGTCGGGGCTGCGCACCCCATACCCGCACTGCTTGTTGCGGATTATCTCCTGTGGAAGGCAACGCAGCATCAGTCTCACTCTCAGTCTCCGGCCCAGTATCAGTGTCAGTCTTACGTGCTCTGTGACGAAGGATGGAGTTTTGAAGATAGAGTTACGCACACGAAATAATAATGGACTTTGTACAGGCTTCTTGGTTCTTTGGGGCTTTTGACATGCTTTCCCAGTTTCGCATATTTAGTCATTATTTGCATCGTTAAATGGTTCTACACTACAGGTAAGTAGGTATGTGGAATCATTGTCAGAGTAGAATGTGCCACCAAAAGGCCTAGCATCCATAGCAAAGTACACATGTATTACGTGGTGGGACCTGAAAGTTGCGCGCCTGGTAAGACTTGCATTGGTAAACGTCACACGATGCAATTTTCCTCGGAAGTGGTATGTCATACACTACCTCAAAATCATGACATTGTCACCAGACACTCTTAATTATACATGGTCATCCCCGTTTTCAGAGCAGACTGGGAGTTACCTGGGACTAAACCACCAAATCTCCCTGTGTGGATGGAAGCTCAGCCAATTTTCCGTTTCCGTTCGGCACTCACGTTTTCATCTCTGACGCAGCAGCTGAAGGGCACGCCGCACGCCTCGCTGCTGCCCACTTCGACGGCCGAGCAGTTGAAGTAGCGGTTGCCGTCCCAGTCCTTGGGGCCCTCCACACCGCAACAGTGCAGCTGCAGGGGAGAGACGGGGAGTGTCATTTTCTTCCGAACAACAGTGGTTTGACGAGCGTTACATATGGACTGATGTGATACCCATGGTTATCTGTTCACATATCAAACCTCGGACTTTGGGGATCAGCAGTCACAGACATAAGGCAGCAGAGGCATCCAGTCAGAAGCATCTGGGTAGCATGAATAACTCCTGGAGCACATATATAACGATAACCTTTAAATTGTGAATCCAGTGATGCATGCTGACAACAGCCAGTGTGTCCCTCACAATGCACCCATGATTATTCCCATACACAATGGATTCTTCCCTCCTGGATTTTCAGTCTTGGATCCACCCACATGTATCCTTCCTGGCTCACTGATTGTTCCTGGATCCTATTTATCCCATTAGACCAGGGATCTGGTGTATTCCTCTCTAGTATTGAATCTGTGTTTTCTGGATTGAGGGCTCACACATCCATCCTGGATCCAGTATATCCTGATAGCTGGATCCAGTATCCCCCACTCACACATCCCTCCTGGATCCAGTAGGTATATTCTGATAGCTGGATCCAGTGTCCTCCACTCACCCATCCCTCCTGGATCCAGTCGATGAGGTTCTGCTGATCCGGATCGTCCCGGTAGTGGACGATGAAGGCCCTGAAGCCCTCTGTGGCCTGCTCCTTGAACCAGTCTTTGAAGATGAAGCACAGGATGCCGCTGGTCATCTCGATCAGCAGCAGGATCGCCAGGCAGATGGCGTACTAGTGACAGAGAGAAAGTCAGGTCAGATGAGACAGGTCAGGTCAGGTGACAGGTCAGACCAGGGGGCACACTGTGGAGTAATGGAAATACAATCCATTTCTGCAGCCAGGTGGTCCAGAATACTCTGTTCTCCTTAGCAAATATATATCTACTCTGACAGCCACAATACCTACCTATTCTCCATTGGCTTGGGCCATTTAGCTTCATGTTGGGACATTTATAAGTGATCTGAGCTCTTAAAAATTACCTCTTAAAAATTTTAGTCAACTCATTGTTCTAAAACAGGCTGACTCCACATGCTGGCACTTGCTTAGGTTAATACCAACCAAAGCTGGGTCAGTAGGCGGAACTATGGTCAAGCGTACCCATTTTCGGGAACGCATTTTCGTTCCCATGTTTGGGAACGATAAACCCAAATATGGGAACGCCATGTAGGCATTATTTAAAACAAGAAAAAGAACCGTTAAATGACGTCCAAAAAATATAAAACGATCGTGAACCGCCTGATATTTGTCTCAATATTGTTGGGAAAGAGTTTGATATTGTAAGGCCCATCGTAGTTTCAAATCGTTCCCCTATTTCTAAAGCAGTCCATCATCCGGGCCGCGAGCCCAAATTTGGGAACGCTCTCGTACACTGGCGCTGCAAGCGTTCCTTATTATGGGAACGGCGTACCCAAAATTGGGAACGATTTCACCGACGCCTTTCAGGGGCTCTTTTCATTAACAAGCATCACGTCCAACGCCGCAAATTATTGTTAACGCAACAATCATCAGATGACCTTTCCGGCAAGACCGTCGCATGTTTCGCCCGGTCTTCTGCGCTTTTATTCCCGTCGATCTCGCAGCGGGCACGCCCCCCTATGCAGGATTACGTAATTCACAACGCTCAGCGATGTTCAACAAGGTCTTCCATACCTATATCCACCGTCCGCGCTGAGGGTGGAGACATGTCAAGCACTTGTCTGTTTATCACCGATAGTTGACGAGTACAAGGAAGTATCCAAAAATGGGAACGCTGAATATGTTACACCCTCAAAACACCTAGTCCCAATGAAAATCTAGTTTTTTCCTTTCTTGATGAGTGTAAGTGGCAAAAGGCCTGGTAGGATGGGCACGAGGAATTATCGAAATCAGCATAAAAATTATAAATAAGCCACACAGAACGAGCTATACCTATAAGAAAAATCCCCCAAAACGATCACGCTTAGAAACACGGAAGACAAAAACCACGCTCATGACGCTCCTTATAAAACAACTCTAAACAGCTAGCATCCAAATAAAATATGTCTTTCCGGGACGATAAAATACAGCTGGATAATTTTCAACCGCTTAAACCGAGTTTACAACAGTAGCTCGGTAAATTCACTCACGTTCCACGCGGTCGTCCGCCCCGACACAAAAGTCAACAATATTACCTCGGGACCGTCCGCGTCTTCGCTTGCATTTGTCAGCATCTGGTGTCGATAGTATGAAAGTTCATAACCAGGCGAAAATTATTATACTTTACCTCAAACTAAAAAATGCTTCATTTTCCTTAAAATTGCATGCTAAATGTCGTATAACCCATATTTCAACCATTCTGTCATTTTCAAAAAATCATTAAAAATATCATTCCACGGTCAATTTCCTTGTTCCACGGTCAGATTAAAGATAACTTTATGGAGATTTAGTAGATACTTAAACGATAGGCGTTATCACAAGTGTATTCGCGGCCATTGGGGCGACGTAAGAAAAGAAGAAACCAACTGGCCCCAAGAACTTTAAATTATCAGTTAGCATGCACCTTTTCCTTGATGTGTAGAGAATTTACCATTATCTGTTACAGAAAATTGCATTTAAAATCTTCCATTTCTGCTTTTTTCACCGTTTGCACAATATGTTCTTTTACTAAGCTAGAAACACTAATTAGAAATAGTTCCCGCATCATCAAGAACAATAGGGAAGGCTTGAAGTGAGTAAAATAATTTAAACGGTTTTGTAATCTATGTGAAGGCACTTCTAAAAATGCCTGTAGAAATATTGAAGGCAAAAGCTCAATTTTTTCACAAGACGGATGTCTATAAACCTATTTAACTTGTGACAACTCAGCCGGTATTTCGTCGCCTGCAGCCCAGCTTTCCCTAGTGACCGATAGAGGCGCTGCTATCGATGTCCGCCCGTGCCGCCTAACGATCAGCGTGCACTTTTTTGAGACGTGATGCACTTTTGAGTTTTAGTGGGAGAACGGCCGAAAAATTGCCTTCCGTTCTCATAAATGGGAACGCCCGTTCCCATATTTGGGAACTCCGTTCCCAAAAATGGGAACGTTCCTATATTTGGGTACTCATGACCATAGTTCCGCCTACTGGGGTACCTACTCACAAAGGCCAAGAGGCAGGTGTTTTCTCGAAGGGCTCCAACACAGCCAGTGAACCCAATGATGAAAGTGATGGCGCCAACGATAATGAACGCAAAGGCCGGATCCATCGGAATATGTGTCAGCCGGCTGAGGTTGTTGAATGTGTTCTTCTCTGACCACGCCCATACTCCGATGGCCAGGATGGAGAAACCCAAGAACTGAAAAGAGGAAAATGGTCAGATTTGACTGAGTAAGACATGACAAAACCATGACGACTGAATAACATTCCTAGAAATGCAAAGCCATAAGATGTTAAATAGTTTAGCAGACTTACCCAAAATATGACGTTGAAGCCAAAAATGACATATTTCAGACAGCAGCTGACTTCTGTTCTGTCTCGTCTTCGCCTGTGATTCGCCATTGCCCTAGCTTCGGGCTGCTATAAACTAGGCTCGAAAGCCCGGAAGCAGACTTCTAAATGATGCGTATTTCAGCCAGGTGAATGAGCTGTTAAATGACGAATAAAATACTTATTTCACTATATCTTAGCTTATACGACAGCTTCCAGTAACAACAATTCCAGCACAAACAAGGAAATGCAGCGAATGCGACGCGGAAAGTAAGTAAATGCCGCAAGGTTGAAGAAAGTCGTGGCTGCTATATTGTAAACGTGTACGCTTGAAAGGCAATTTTGCGATTGTAAAGATTTCATTGAACTTTGGTAATTGGTTCATTCTTTTATTCAATAAAATGTTTTACAGATAGAGTGTGTTAGAAGGATAGTATTCGTAGTAAACAGTCTACCAACGTCATTGCTACATTTAAGGCAAACGTTGGCGTGGGTCTTTTCGAACTGAACCCGTACGGCTACCGTAGCAGCCAATAGGTAGCTTAGTTGGCAAGATCCAAGACTGATACCCTAGTTTGATCGAATGCCCCCCACCACCACCACCAACACGGGGTGCTGTAGATTATCCGCCTCGTCAACTTACATTGATGGATTGTGGTCGATTGTAGTAAGTAGTACGGTACCTACCTAACCACCGTTTACGGCCTATTGCATAGCGCTAGACTCCCCGGGCCAAGTTCAAGGAGAGCCAGATTTCCAACTTTAAATAAATCAAATGTCCCGGCGCTTGAAGATAAGATTCCTGATAAGCAGGGCATATGTTAAGGCACTTACTGCGTCCCATTCTGGGACGCAGCCCCCTCGCCTTGGGACGTAGCCCCTGCTGATTTAACCCACTGCGTCCCTGCCCTGTGCCGTCCGGTTCCCTGACCTGTGCCCTGCTGTGTGCCCTGACCTGTACCCTTCCCTCTAAAATGTCCTGTGCCATGCCGTGTGACTTGCCCTGCCCTACTTTCTGCCCTCCTCAGCAGTGGCGCAGCCAGGATTTGGTTTCGGGGGGGGGGGGGGGTCATCGCCTCCAAAGCGGGCCCCCTAGTGTGCGGGCCCCCACCCATTTTTCAGAATCTTTCCATATTTCATACGCATTCTGCTGAGCGGGCCCCCTTTACCTACACGATAACCCTGAGCGAGTTTGAATCGGAAAATTTTGATAGAACAATAGCTCGGTAATCACCCGGTGTTCAATTTCTACGCGAATTGACCATGACAGAAATATGTTACTATGAGGTACGAATTCGTATCGTTCGAGGCCGAAATGTGCCCCTTCCGCAATATGCATAGCATATACGCTAACAGAGCTGTTGCCTGCTTCTATCGGACAATATTTAAGTAGTCCCATGTGCCCGTTCTAAGTCATCTATTGGCTGCTGTAGTAGATTGTGTCGACAGAAATATGTTACTACCAGTAAAACGCATTTTGGGCGAAGAACGAGCGAGCGAGATAGTGAGCCCTGCACGTGCGGAAGGGCGAGAGGGTACTTCCAACAGTCTTGTGCAAAGCACCCTTCTAACCGGTCGCTAGCGGTGTGCCAAATTTGAACGCGATCGGCCCAGCCGTTCCTGAGATCTGGAAGCGGCATTCTGCACGTGCGCACGTGCGAACGGGGTCCAAACTGACTTTTGCACGGCACCCTACTAACCGGTCCCCAACCGTGTACCAAATTTGAGCGCAATCGGCCCTGCCGTTCTCGAGATCTGGAAGCGCCCCGCTGCACGTGCGCACGTGCAGTAGCACCCTAACCGCAACACATGGGAATGCATTGCCTGGTGGGTGCCTACCTGTATGCCAAGTTTCAGCGTCGCCCCAGTAATTACCGAGTTATTGAAATGGGAAAAAATGTGGCACCTCTTCTTTTTGTATTTTGCACGTGCAGTGGGGGTCACTTACATAGAACAACAGTACCCGACCTTTGGTAGAAGGGATGCAGCTACCCTACAAAAATTACCGCGAGACAATCGCCCAAGCGGCCCCGTTCTCCCGGGGCCCCGGACCCATCCACGGGAAGCCCGGGCCCTATCCACAAAGGGGGTCCCGGGCCCGTTCTCCCAGGGGCCCGGGCCAGTTCTCCCGGGGGCCCGGGCCCGTTCTCCGGGAGGCCCGGGCCCGTTCTCCCGGGGACCGGGGCCCCATCCAGCCGGGGATCCGGGCCCCGTCCACCCGGGGCCCGGGGCCCGTTCTCCAGGGGGCCCGGACCCATCCACGGAGCCCGGGCGCAAATTCCCAATAGTGCTACACGCCACGCACAGCCCGGGCGGGTGACGTCACGGTGTCGTCACTCGCGTCCGGGGCATGCGCATGGGGGCCCGCTCGGCTCTGGAGGCGCCGGCGGCAGGCGGCTCAGAGAGATCTGCACGACCGATGGGAGGGGTTCCGAGATGTGCACGGCCGATGGGAGGGCTCGAAGACCACTGCTCTGATGCTTTAGTCATTAGTCAACTACACTGCGAACGATTTATCGGGTTTATCCGACGCAAGGGAAGTTGCGGCGAAAGAACCTGAGGTTGTTGCGTCATGCAGCATTTATATGGTAATCGAAATGTACTCTGCTCGTGCGGTGCGAGTTGGAGTGTTGGCTCGGTGGTAGTAGGGCGAGCTGTGCACGGCTGGTGGCAGGTTTTGGGACCAACATTCCACCACGGCTCAAGTAAGCGTATCCGTCGTGAATGATTTACGCACCAGATGTTTGACAAAGCAAATGACCTCAAACAAGTAACACCGAATAGCGAGATGCTACGTTATTGCAACGTAGGTGAACGAGATGCACTCGCATCAATTACGAGTTTGACGGCAGCTGTAGCTGATCCGTTTATACAAAAGGCTATAGAACGTTTAGGTATAGGTACATAGTGTTCAGCGGTGTCCCTGGGTTTAGGTAAGTTGAGGTAGAAGAACAGCAAATTTCCAGCCAGTTGCTGAACTCTTCTCGGGTTTTGACGTTACATCTCAAAGCCAAATCTTTGCAGTTCACGTGGATGTTCAAAATGCCTGAAGATCATTTTTTCCGAAAAAAAAAACATTCTTTTCCATCGAACACCACAGGTGCAGAAACAACACTACCCACAAATCCAACACGAATTACAGTCTAACAGGTCTAACACCATCACGGTCAAATTCAACACCCAGCGCACCGACTCGCTCTATCGTCTGGAGGAAGATAGGCCCCTCTTGCACGGAGACACAAGTCAAAATCGTTTTCAAGTGATTCTAAATGGTCCGCACTCCGCACTCCGCAGACCATCAATATCGAATATGAATCTCAATCTAAATACGTTACCAAGATTATAGACATATTCGTCCAAGAAGACTGCGAATTAGGGATGAGTCTCCGTGCAAGAGGGGCCTATCTTCATACAGACGATGGATTGAGTCAGCGCACCCAACAAACGCCAACAATAGCCCCCTTGAATTCGCGCCTTAGGTCCGCGCTTGGATAACTAACAAGGTAATTATCCATGGTCCGCGTGTGGTTCGTGCATAGACTCGTATATTGTCCTCGTCAAGGCCCTATATACCAGGTAGGGTCGTCCGGCGATTCTACCTTTTCGTGACGTCAGCTCGTGACGTCATTTGGAGTCAAGTCTCGAAGCCCCGTTCAATCCCCATGTAAATGAGCGATTTTCGAAGCACTGTAGAATGAAGTCTGCACAAGATATATCAAACCTAAGTATCTTATCTGAAAGAGCAGACAATTTTCTGCAAGTTATCTATTACGTGTTTTTCGCTAAATCTTTTGCTTTTTTCACAAAAGCGTAAAATGTCCCCCCATGTCTCCGCAGCCTCCCTGGCGCCGGCCGCCGCGCGGTGGCGGTAGTGTAGTGGTTAGCGTGCCCGCGCAGTATTCCAAAGGTCTTGAGTTCGAATCTATGCGGTGCGGAACTTTTATTGCAATTCCAAGCTGAATATACGCACATCCATAATAAATTATTATTCGTATAGCTAAACTGTCACCAAGCTATCCATATAAATTGATTTCACCCAAAATATCGGCAAGATTCTATTAAAATATAAATTCAAATATGGCGGCTTGGACTGCCGCGTGCGTTAGGCTCCGCCCATAGCTCCGCCCACATGCGTGACGTCATTCGTGTTAGTGGACACGCAGAGAGATAGGGGACGACATGGGCCTGTAAGTTTCCTTAACCTGTATCTGGACTAGCGCAAGGCCCTATATAGAAGGTATGCTCATTAGGCCGAAGCAGCGATTTCCGTGACGTCACAGGTACGAAGGGTCGGACGGCTGTAATGCAATCATATGGAAAATGACCCAACTTTAGGGCTCTCCCACATAGCTGCCAGACTCGTTGCTCGGGTAAAAATTATATCACATGAAAGCTCGAATCAAGACGAACAAGAAACCTATGTGACATTTTTACGTATTACTAACGGCTTAGACTCTATTCAAGTATATTCAGAGCTCTGCATTAGCTCACTTTTTCTGCCGTCAATGCCTCTACAAATGCCTAGTCGGCGCACGTGCGCTTGTCGAGCGGGGACCACCAGTCGGGCGATTCGGAGCTACCGCCCAATCAGAACGCCACAATGCCGTGACGTCATTGGTCGCACACGACACGTTACGGAGATAGGGATGAGACAGCCCTGGGACTAGCGAATAGACCCCACCTCGTCTAACTATTGCTTGGCTGATAGATGTGACGTCACATAACCCGCACGCCAATGAGCATGGCGTCAGGCTATGACGTCATCTCCCGCGGCAACCAGCCACTCAGCGCTGGAGGTGCGTAGCAAGGTACCTATAAGAAACAGGTAGATCCGATGTTTGAAAGTAAAGCCCCAGTCACAAATTTGACGCACCTGTGACATTTCCTGACACCCACGTGACTATTGTATTAACTTTTGTGTTTTGCGATGTTTTGACCTTATTTAAAGTACTGAAAGCTCAAAATGTATGATTTATGTTGTTTAAAGCAGCATATTAATAATTATGTTTGTAAATTATCGATAAGCTGCTTATAGCAGGTCACGTGATTGCTACCAGATTATGTGCTCAGAAAGCATCTTTTCAACTTCGATTTTGAACAATTTTTACCTCCTTTGAGGCCAAATGATGGACGGTTTGAGGCACACGATGAAATGCTGAATCTATTGATGCCAAAATTTGTTCGCTTTTTGCATTTTTAGACTAGTATATCCTGGCTCAAACTTTGACCAGTTTGTGTGTAAACCCTATGG